TTAAGGATTGTTATGACTTCTTAAAGAATTGACATCTTTTTAATTATGCAATGCTCATCTTCATCCCTGATCATAGTTGAATATTGTATTTTTACCTACTCTGACAGTTTCAGTCTTTTAACTGTTATATTTAGACCATTGATGTTTACAGTGATATCTGATGTGGTGGAGTCCATACTATCTGCCATATTTTTTACCTTTTCCTATTCGTTGTTCATGTTTTTTTTTTAAATGTTATCCTCTCCCTTTTTCTGCCTTCTCTTGTTTTAATTGAGCATTTAAAAATAATTTTATTGATTTCAGGGAGGAAGGGAGAGGGAGAGAGAGACAGAAACATCAATGATGAGAGAGAATCATCGATCAGCTGCTCCTGCATGCCCCCCTACTGGGGATCAATCCCACAACCTGGGCATGTGCCTTTAACCAGAATCGAACCTGGGACCCTTCAGTCCGAAGGCTGACACTCTATCCACGGAGCAAACCAGCTAGAGCTAATTGAGCATTTTGTATGATTCTATTTTTTCTACTCTTTTAGCATATTAATTATATTTCTTTTTGTAAAACTTTTTTTAGTGGTTGTCCTAGTGTTTGCAGTATCCATTTACAACTAATCCAAGTCTTCTTTCAAATAACACAGTATTACTTCATGGATAATGCAAGTACCATATAACATAGTATTCTCACTTCCTTTCTCCTGTCCTTTGTAATATCACTCTTTCATTTTACTTATCTGTAAGGTATCATCACCGAATGCATTGTTACTATTATTGTTTTGAACAAACTGTTATCTGTTAGATCAATTAAAAATAGGAAAAATCATTAAATGTTAACTAGAGTTGTGATTATTTTACAACATATACAAATATCAAATCATTGCACTGTAGACCTCAAACTAACATAATTTCATATGTCAACTATACCTCAATTTTAAAAAGCAGGTGGGAAAAAAAGAATAAACAACATAGTTTACCTTCATATATTCCTTCTCTAGCACACTTTCTTTATGTAGATCTGAGTTTCTGACCTGTATAATTTTATTTTTCTTTTGAAGAATTTCTTTTAACATTTTCCACCAGACAGGTGTACTGCCAGCAAATTCCCTTAATTTTTGTTTTTCTGAGAAAATTCTTTATTTCTTATTCTGCTTTGAGGGATTGTTTCTCAGGACTCAGAATTTTTGATTGGTGGTTATTTTTAACCCTTCATATATTTTATTCTTCACTCTTCTAGATTGCATTGTTTCTGAAGAGAAATTTGATGTAATTCTTATCCTTGCTCCTCTATAGGCAAGGCATTATTTTCTTTTGGCTACTTTCAATATTTTTTTCTTTGATTTTGTACAGTTTGGATATGATGTGCCTAGTTGTAGATTTAAAAAAATATATTTAACCTTCTTAGTGTTCTCTGAGCTTTCTGGACCTGTAGCTTGGTATCTATTATTAATTTTAGAAGCTTCTGGGTCATTAGTGCTTTAAATACAGTTATGTGCCACATAACAACATTTTCATCAATGACAGACCACATATGATGATGGTCCCATAAGATGATGATAGTGCTGAATATCCTGTAAGAAATGGAGGATGTGTGGTTCAGAAGGAATTTTTTTTTCTGTGGTGTGAGCAATATCTGTGGCACTTGGCAATATATCCCTTTCTCATTTACAGCACCTCAATTTTGAGTACATAGATTATATTCCAATCAGTCAGTCACTGACCTGTTTCATTACAGAGGAGCCTGCCATATTCAGAGGTGCTATAGTCCTTCCAATCTAACATAATGCTCTTTAGAGTACATTGTTGTAAATTCTACATGTACAGAGGTCCACAAGATCTATTTTAACAACTATTAAGGGCCATTGCCACTTAAGTAAAAACTTTCTTTGTTGGGGTGGAGCCAGCCTGTCCCTGGACTCTTTTAATATTTTCAGGTTGTAATGCTATAAAATATAGAATTTCTTCTATCAGGTAAATGCCAGAGAGAGCCCTTTGTAACAGATAGAGTCAATGGAACAAAAAACAAATTTTCAGAGTAAAAATAGTGAGTCCTCAATTCTACATCCTTCATGTTAAATACCCTCATTTTTCATGAATAATGCAAAGTTCCTTATTCTGACCCCCTGCTCCAACATGCAATAGTCCAAAACCATAATGCTATGACAATCTGCTATGTTCCTTTACTTCTCCATCTTAAATTTCACATTCCTATTGACCCTCAGGCCACCTTTCACTCCCTCCTGACAGTCACTATTATGGTGATCTATACTTTACCCAATCAGTTTCTCCTTGATATTCCCAATCAATCCAACTCACATCTCTGTTCATGGAGTAACACTGACAGCTTCAGTGTCCTATTTCTGACCCTGTACTGTCCAGTAATGTCCTAGGCCTTCACATTCACTCACCACTCACTCACTGACTCACCCAGAGCAACTTCCAGTCCTGCAAGTTGCCTCCTGCACATGCCCCAGCCCAGGCCAGAGATCAAACTTGCAACCCAGATATGTGCCCATGACCCTTTGTTGTGCAATTCGACACTCTAACCACTGTGCATACCAGCCAGAACTCTATGTTCTTTTCTGGGGATTTCTCTTGTTCTTTCATTTGGGGCATATTTCTTTGTATCCCCATTTTGTCTGCCTTTTTCTGTTTGACTGTATGTTAGGTAGATCTGTTATGGCTTGCAGGCTTGTCATGAGGGCTTTCTGATGTAGGTGCCTTGTGGGTCTCAGTGGCACAAGGCACCTACATCAGAAAGGCACCTAAATCACCTGAGCTAGGTGCTCCAGAAATGTTTCTTGTATGGGTAATATGCCCCCTATTGTAGTTGAGTCTTGAGTAGGGTTGGTCCATTCATGGGTGGAGTTAATCTTCAGACTAGTTGAATATGATGGTAGACATAGTTCACTGTATATGAGTTGCTGTTCAAAGACTGCCTCCCAAGGCAGAGTTGTTCCCAGCAGGTTCTTGTGCCTGCTGGAGTCCCCCTTTGGCTGTGTCATTAGTGTGGCTAGTTGGGTTGAGCTCTGGTGAGGTTTGAAGCCCACCACTAGTTGTGTTGGTTCTGGGCCCACTTGGATGGGGCTTTGGTGCAGGTCAGTGTCAGAAGATGTGTGTAACTGGCCTTGGGCTACCTGTCTGGACCACTGTGCTCTTCACTGATTGTGACTGTCTGCTGGGCCTGGATGTGTGTGGGAAGAGCCAAGCTGTGTACAAGGGTCAGCTTCCAGTAGCTCTGAGCTGAGCACAGATCAATAAAAGGTCCAAGGCTCTCTGAGGTTGGTATCTACCTGTTGGCTGCTCCACCACCTCCTGAAGTTGCCTGGACTTCCTCCAGAGCCTTTTGAAGAAAGACTGTAGAGTGGGCCCAAGCTGGCATGCCCACTGTCCCTTTCACTCAACATAAGCTCAGTTGGGTGGGGTGACTGGGTCAGGAGGATGGTGCTAGTGGGTCCCCTTCTTAGGGGCAGCATACCATAATCTTATGTTAGCCCGGCTGCCATGGCTCAGTGGTTGAGCAATTAATAGGGAGATGTGGCCCCTACTCCAGAACCATAGGCGAGAATGGTTGTAGGTGAGAATGGCAACAGGTGTCTGACCAACGGGTTCAGTAACCTTGGTACTTGGGTTTTGGCTAAGAAATAATTTAAAGTCCAGGCCCAAACTGTAATTTATTAGGTAAATTACAGAGATAGAAAAAGTAATTCCTAGAATAAATGGGCTTAGCAAACAAATTCTAGAGGTAAAGGAAGGGCCCGTGGAGCTTGAGAGTGAGGAATCTAATGGTAATGTGCCTGGGAGGGGGAGGGGGAAAAGGGAAAGGAAATAGAGAGGGAAGGGAAAGGCAGGAGCATGCTGCTGGGAGGGAGAGCGCATTGGGTCTTCTATCCTAAGGGTTTTAAGGGCAGCAGTATTAGGGAAGTCCCAGGGAAATATCTTAATAGAATATTCGGAAGTTTTCCAAGTGTGTCCATTCAGGGTTGTGGTCTCCACTGATTGATTGGCCCGCACCAGGGCAGGGGGTCATTATTATTCCATGCAACTGGTCCTGATGCCAGCCCTGGCTGGTTTTGTTGTATATCTGGGCCTGGAGCTGAGATATAACTGAGGCCTAGATGCTATCTCTAGGGAGGAAAGGTCAGGGGGTCCAAACCTCAGGACCAGCGATATGCTAGAGGATGAAAAGTCACCCTGAGGGTGAGGTCCCATCCTGCAATTGATTGTCCAATGCTAGGCACCTGGGGCTTTCTCTTGCTCTGCTCATGTCTGCCTAACTGCCTACAGCAATACCACTCATTCTCTGCTAGATTCTCCAACTCTACCTCCCCAGGAGGAGTGCACCACTGGTTCAGGTTGGGTGCAGCCAGCTGTTCCCAACTGCAGAAGCAAGATCAGCAGGGTGGTACCACCGGGATTTGGGAAAACAGATCACAATAATCTTATGTTAGCCTGGCTGCCATGGCTCAGTGGTTGAGCATCAATCTATGAACCAGGAAGTCACGGTTCGATTCCCAGTCAGGGCACATGCCTGGGTTGTGGGCTCGATTCCCAGTGTGGGGTATGTGGAAGGCAGCTGATCAATGATTCTCTCTCATCATTGATGCTTCTCTCTCTCTCTCTCTCTCTCCCTCTCCCTCTCTGAAATCAATAAAAATATATTTTAAAAAAGATAATCTTATGTTGGGGGAGGCACCAGCCAAGCCCATGGAAGGGGAGAGAGAGCTTTTTACACCTGCCCTTCTCTGTGTGGCCGCACCCACTGGAGCCAGGACCAGATCCTCTGAGGGTGACATTCTCCTCTCTGAAGTTTCCAGCTCTTTGAGGCCCTTCCTTCCCTTGAGGAACTGAGCTCAGTAGAGTGGGGCCACCAGGACTTGGGAAGAGAGATCAAGACAGTCTTCCATTGGATGTGGTGCTGTCTGAGGCTGCAGGTGGTGGGGAAGACTGGCCCCTGTTCCAAAGCCTCACGGTTCACTGTCTGTCTGTATTTCTCTGTTTCTCCAGAGAAAGAGCACACCAAACGTCCCTGTTGGGTGCAGCCAACAGTCCTTTCTGCTGGACTCAAGCTTGGCAGGCTGGTGTCGCCAGTATTTGGAGGACCCGGTTAGTGCACTCCCTAGGCTGCTGGTGAAAATAGTTATAAATTTTGATGTCGTCTTTGTTATGCCTGACAGACCCTTGTCCTTGAACCTCGTGACACTTCTCTAGCCATCTCATTTGTCAGTCCCTTGAAAACTTTTATAACAGGGTGTTAACATATTTGAGAAATCTCTGAGATAAAACTAAAGAAAAGCTGATCTGCTAAGAGAAGATAACATATTATTGTTTTAATTTGTCTGAATTTTGAAGCCCTTTTTAAACAAATTATCTACTAATGTCTTTTGCCTTCTTATCTGTTGGGATCCAATTTTAATGATCTGAACAATTTCTTTATATATTAAGGCTATTACTCCTTTGGCAAAACACTTACATGAAATATTTGTCATTTGCTTCACTTTGACAGCTGTCAACATGGTCTCTTCTAACTGGTTTATCCTCTTCATTCTTCTCACCAATCATGGGTAATGCCCAAGTATAGTTTCTCAGTTCTGTGTTCTTTCCCTACTTCAACAACTCTCAAAGTGTGGTCTGGGGATTCCTGAGACCCTTTTGGGGATCTGCAAGATCTAAACTGTTTTCATATTAATATTAAGACATTATATTCCTCATTCACTTTCATTTTCTCATGAATATACAGTGGAGTTTTCTAGAGGCTGTGTGACAGGTAATGATGTCATTTCTCTGATGATAAATGGAATATGTGAAGCATAATCCAGCTGTCTTCTATTAATGCAGACATCAAAAAAGTTTGAAAAATGCCTCTCGCTAATTTGTTTTGTTTTGGAATATATGGATTTTTAAAAATGTTAATATTAACATATAGTGAGTTGATCATTGTTATATATAAATACATTAATAAATATTTATTTTAAACATTCCCAGGTTTTAATTACTAAAAGAGTAAATATCTTTAGATAGAACTCATATAAATAAAAACTCTTTAGGCTCCTCTATAATTTTGAAGACTAAAGAGATCCTGAGACTAAAAAGTTTGGGAACTGCTGTTCTGTTAATGCTTCCTTTGATTTCTGTCTTTTCTCATAACCCCTACTCATCTATGAGGATGACTCACAGATGAAGACCACGCTTTGAGAAGAAGCACTATTTTTTCCTTCTAAGGCTTTTAATCCACAGTTCTGACAGGTAGAGAAGGTACCCTGGGTTAAGGATTGGTCCAAACCTCCTAAATAAGCATCTTCTATGTCATCTCAGAGGTTACACTTGATGATTCACATTTCATTTTTCTTTTCTAAATAAATTAACTAAAACTGGAATTAGAGTATAAAATATATTATTTACTGAGATATCCCATTGTGTTAGGCACTTAAGAACACAGATTTAACACCTCTCCTCAACTAGTTCAAAGTATAGGGGGTAGGAAAAAGGTGATTTTATGTGTGTACCAGTTCTTATCATCTTCAATGTTATACTTAGGATTGTCCTCATGGTTTGTTTTATTTTTAAAAAAATATTTTTATTGATTTCAGAGAGAAAGGAGAGAGGAAGTGAGATAGAAACATCAATGTTGAGAGAGAATCATCGTTCGGCTGCCTCCTGCATGCCCCCTACTGGGAATCAAGCCTGCAACCCAGGCATGTACCTTGACTGGGAATTGAACCATGACCTCCTGGTTCATAGGTCAACACTCAACCACTGAGCCACACTGGCTGGGCTTCATGTTTTATTTTTAACTAGAGGCCTGGTGCATAAAATTAGTGCATGGGAGGGGGATGTCCCTCAGCCCGGCCTGCACCCTCTCCAATCTGGGACCCCTCGGGGGATGTCTGACTGCCTGTTTAGGCCAGACATCCCTCTCGCAATCCAGGACCACTGGCTCCTAATCACTCACCTGCCTGCCTGTTTAATGCCCCCAACTGCCCTCCCCTGTTGTGTAATTGCATTATGTAAAAGTTTTCTCCTCAACTAGATCATAAATTCCTTGAGAGTAGTGACAAAGGTAACAAATGTTTTTTGTATCCCCAATTCCCTACCCTCATAGTAACAGGCATAGCTATATTGAGTGTCATCCATATAAATTTGTTGATTAGCTGGTAACCCTTCCTTTCTGACTGGAATCCTCCTCAATAAGCATTTATTGAACATGTACTCTGGAACACTAAAGTTGTTGTAACAACAGAAATGAGAAGGATATGGTGTATGTATGTAATCACAAGACCCAGTGAAAGAGATTATGCAATCAACATAGATGTGTGAACAAAGGGAGTGTGGAAGGAAAAGCCTGTTTGAACTGGCCCTAGATGGACTCAATGGAATTTTATGAGGTCGAAAAGAAGATGGCGTACTGGATGAAATTCGTGATAGAGTATGTGGCCTAAGCAAAGTCAAGGAGTCATAAAAGTACATGGCCTTATGAGGAGTATAACAAATTTGTAGTAGGAGGTAAGTCTATCTGGGTAGATGGGATCTATATTTGATTGGGCCCTGAATGCCATGAAAAGAAATTTAAACTTGACCCTACAAGCAATGGGGAATCAGCTTATGATTTCAAGCAAGAAAGTGACAAAAAGTGCCTTTAAGCTGAAAGTGTTAGCTATGTAACACATCCACCAAAACAACATTTTTCTCTGACTGTTTTCTTCCCCAGGCCTCCATTATATGACAAACCCTATTTATAATCTACCAGTTGGGATAATAAATCAAATTCTCTTACTTTGTTCTTGGCCTACTGTAAAATCTGGCTGACCTCAGGCTTGTGGCCATCTAGAGGTTTGATTTATTCCAGATGTGCCATTCTCTAGAACGACATGTCCTAATGAAGCCCCAAACTGTCATGGAAAGAGCACTGGACTTAGAGTTCAACTAGATACGATTTCAAATCTCAGCATTAATGAACTTTAAATGATTTCCTGATTTTTTTGATGCTTTAACTTTTTCTCTTGAAGCTCTTAATATCTGCAAAATAAAATTAAAGACTGGCCCTGGGTGATTTGGCTCAGTGGATAGAGCATTGGCCTGTGGACTGAAGGGTCCTGGATTTGATTCTGGTCAAGGGCACATGCCAGGGTTGCGGGTTTGATCCCCGGTGGGGGGCATGCAGGAGGCAGCTGGTGGATGATTCTCGCTCATCATTGATGTTTCTCTCTCTCTCTCCCTCTCCCTTCCTCTCTGAAATCAATAAGAATATATTTAAAACAAAACAAAACTCAAAGACTGTACCAGAATGAATTATCCCTGGGCAAATATCACTTTGAGTTTTACTGATTGTATTTATTTCCTTTGTTGAACTCCCATTTATAACATCTGTTTTGCTTGATTTACTTGCTTCTTCTAATTTTCTTTTGTTGACTATTTCTATGTACTTATTAAGGAAGCACTTTATAACCCAAACAGTGAACCAGATAGCTGCTCCAGGAAATGTTTGGAATGAGGCAGCTCAATTTAGCTGAGTTGTTCTGTGTCAGTGGGTTACAGGAAGGAGTGTGTAAGGTCCCTATGGGGAAACTAGTGAGTTTTCCAGCTTCCCCCTTGTTGAATTTTCATCTTGTATCATCATTATTTTGTTTTAATGAATTCCCAGAATAATAGTTATACCCATCTGAAAATATGACTATAGGACATGTCCCACAACCAAACATAAATTATTTTTGGATTCCCCATACATTTTCTTTCTATGATTTGTGTGGCTCATGTAGAGTTGCTAGAACTATGTATTTTAAATAATTTCCTGAATGAGACATGTAAACAGTGGAGAAAAAGGGAAAGGATTCTGCATTATTTTTCAAATTGTCTTCCTCTCTTTCAGTACTAGTTACTATATGGAATTCATGGGCATTTAATAAAATTAAACAAAAAGAAAACCTCCTGCCCCAATTGGTTTGGCTCAGTGGATAGAGTGTCAGCCTGCGGACTGAAGGGTCCTGGGTTCGATTCCGGTCAAGGACATGTACCTTGGTTGCGGGCACATCCTCAGTAGGGGGTGTGCAGGGGGCAGCTGATTGATGTTTCTCTCATGATGTTTCTCTCTCATCGATGTTTCTAACTCTCTATCCCTTTCCCTTCCTCTCTGTAAAAAAATCAATAAAATATATTTGAAAAAAAGAAAAAAAAAAGAAAACCTCCTGAGGTATGCTACCCTGTTAGACTCAGTTATTCTCATCAACTAAAATGGTGCTTGTTTTCAGCCAAGATTTCTAGAAACCTGGAATATATATTCCTGACATTGAGTGCTTTTTGTAGGTTCATTGAATGTAGTAAATCCCAGAGTTAGACAAATGTTAGCTGCAAATATTGACTCTAATGCCACCTGCATTTTAAAAGGAAAGTTGATGTGGGAGGATGAGGGCAGGGAACATGCCTTCTTTGCATTTTAATTTTTGTACTCAAGTTAATGTTATTTCCACTCTCCCTCCCCCCGCCCCACATCCCTGTTGTTATTCTGTTAAGTTTGGAGTAGCTACAAAAGTGTCAAGTGGAGTTCTTGGGAATTTAGGACTGGAGGTTGAGGTAGAGGTGAGAGCTAGAGAGATAGTAGATTTCCTTAAAGGGTAAAATTAAGTACAGTAGCCCCCCCCTTTATATAGTTTCACTTTCTGCATTTCAGTTATCCATGGTCAACTGTGGCTCAAAAATAATAAATGGAAACTTCCAGAAATAAATAATTCATAAGTTTTAAATTGCACACCATTCTGAGTACCATGATGAAATATTGTGCCGTCCTGCTCCATCCCACCCTGGGTGTGAATCATCCCTTGTCCAGCATACCCATGCTGTATCCACTACCCACCTCAGTTGCCATATATGTTGAGAGAGAGAGAGAGAGAAAGAGAGAGAGAACATAATCACATACATTTTATTACAGCATATTGTTATAATTATTCTATTTTATTATTATTGTTGTTGTTAATTTCTTACTATGCCTAACATAAATTAAATGTTATTATAAGTTTTATGTACAGGAAAAAAAGTATGTGAGGGTTTGGTACTATCTGTGGTTTCAGGAATCCACTAGGGGTCTTGGAACATATTCCCCATAGATAAGGAGTGGGGCTTTTGTAAATCAGAGTAAGGTCGGGAAGAAGCTATTATCTCAGTCAGATCCAGAGCAAAGTAGAAGAGATTTTTCCCCCTTAAAACTAGAGTAAAGACGCTTCTTCCTGAATGATAAGGGGGCGTGGGCAGAGAGATTCAGGATTTCTTTTGTGTTGTTAGTAATAGGAAAAACTGCTAAGGATCCTGTGGTTCCACAGCTGAGACAGGGAATTTGTGCATTGTTGCAGGAGGGCTTGGAGAAGGGGAGTGAAGGAAGCAGGATAGAGCCGGGGGGAAGAGTCGAGTGAGGATAAAAGGATTGGGGAACACCAAAGGAACTCTACTAAGATCACCAAGCGTGAATTCTTTTTTTAAAAAAATATATTTTATTGATTTTTTACAGAGAGGAAGGGAGAGGGACAGAAAGTTAGAAACATCGACGAGAGAGAAACATCGATCAGCTGCCTCCTGCACACCCCCCACTGGGGATGTGCCCGCAACCAAGGTACATGCCCTTGACCGGAATCGAACCTGGGACCCTTCAGTCCGCAGGCCGACGCTCGATCCACTGAGCCAAACTGGTTACGGCACCAAGCGTGAATTCTTAGTGTCCTAGGACTCACCTGATCCACATAGCATAGTTAGAGATTTTGTAGCTGAAGAAATGGTTTGATGATCAATGATTTTGTACATTATTAATACCTTTGGGTAAATGACCCTACCTTCCCTTTATGATCACATCAGCATGGTAATGTTCCTGGGGAACCTATTGTTTACTTCATATCTGCACAGAGTTCAAGTTATTTGTGCATATTGGTAATGTATTTCTTTGATTTATATTCATCCTTATCTGCAAGTGAATGGAAGGTTTCCCTTGGAGTATCTGTTCTCTTGGTTTCAACTATCACCTTGATGTTGAAAACTCCCAAGTCTTTGTCTTCCAATCTTCATCTCATTTATCCTAACCAGCATCATTTTTGTATCTGTCCCACTATCCCACAGTGATTTGTACATAGGAGGTGGTTCATAAATGTCACTCACACTTAAGTCAGGCTGATCTCTTTATTACCAGTGAGGTATTGTGAAACTGAACACATGATTTAGAGTTTAACTTTTTTTTAACACTAACTGGGCAAGTTACTTAGCCTCTCTGAGCTTTAGTTTCCTTATCTGCACTAGGAGTGATAATGCCATAACATAGGGACTTTGAAAAATTAAGTGGAAGAGTTCACTTTAAGCACATAAGCCTGAAAATTGATAAGCACCTGGTAAATGTCAGTTCTTTCTCCTTTATGCTCAATGTTTAAAATATTGAATTTATCTGTTATGATTCCAATTTTCAGGCCTATTGCTTAATTTGTCCTATTTAGTTTTTACCATTTTCATCACACATGATTCTGATAACCCAGAGTAAGAAGTTTTTTTAAAGTGTTGGAATACCTCAAAAGGAATATTATTTGCCTAATCCAATAGAACTTTCCTGACTATGATTCTCAATCAAGATTTCATTTAAAAAAATTGGAGGGGCCCTAGCCACTTTGGCTCAGTGGATAGAGTGTTGGCCTGCAGACCATGGGGTCTGGGGTTCAATTCTGGTCAAGAGCACATTCCTTGGTTGCAGGCTCCTCCCTGGGCCAGGCCCTGGTTGGGGCTCATGCAGGAGGCAACCAACCGATGTGTTTCTCTCACATCACTGTTTCTCTTCCACTCTCTCTAAAAGTCAATGAAAAAGTATCCTCTGGGGAGGATTAACAACAACAACAAAATGCAGGGGAAGAGGGTAGATAATGTAAAGTTGGCTATAATGATGGTTTTTAAAAATCGATAAACTAAGATTTTTTAAATAAAATTCATATCTGAAGGTTTGCACTTGGGATGTCAAAAATGTTTCATCTTTCATATTAAATTCATGAGCAGAGAGCAACATTGGATAGCATAATATGCCTCTTTCCCCTAGTATTTCTGTTCATTTATGTTGTGTTAGGAGCTCTGGGAGACTCAGAGGCATAAGATAATGTTTCTTGACTCCCAAATGGCCACCACATTTCTCAATACTGATGTGTAGTTTTTACTTCACTTGATTACTTGTGAATTACTATGAGTTTTGTACATATGTCCTCATTTGGTGTGTGTGCTTGCATTGTTCTAAAAATAACTGCTTTCAGCTACATGTTAAGGGTAGAGGTACATTACATTTAGAGGGTAACTGAATATACTAAGTAGTTTGCATGTCTGTATTGTCAAAAGAAGAGTATGAAAAAAAGACATAAGAATAAATATAACCCAAAAGGCGAAAACTACCCACATGCCCATCAACTGATGAATGGCTAAACAAAATGTGGTATAGCCATACAATGGGTATTATTCAGTCCTAAAAAGGAATAAAGTACTGATACATGCTATAATATGAATAAGCCTTGAAAATATGAGAAGTGGAAGAAGCCAGACTCAGAAGGTCACATAGTGTATGATAACATTTGTATGACATATCCAGAATCAGCCAATCATAGAGACAACAAGAGAATGGAGGTTATATGGTGCTGGGGTGAGGATGGGGAGTTATACTTACTGGATACAGAGTTTCTGTTTGGGGTGATGAAAATTTTCTGGAAATTGCTAGTGATGATGATTGTGCAACATTGTCAGTGTACTTAATGCTGCTGAATTGTCTACTTTAAAAATGGGTCAAATGGTAAATTTTATGTTATGTGTATTTACCACAATTTTAAAAAAGAATAAATGTTAAGGAGCTTGGAGGTCATTATAATAAGCCTCCTGTTTTTCTTTCTACACAGGAGCCATGGATAGTAGAGGCTTTCAGCAGGGGTGTTTCAATAGCTTCCAGAGCAGCTCCAGTGATGAAGACTTGGTGGACATACCAGGGACAGCTATGAATTTCTCCCTGAGAGATGATGTTCCTCCCTTAGATGGAGAAATAGAAGGTATCATTGTTGCTGATGACAATTTATCTTTTTAAACTTATTTTTAATGTGCATATAATAAAATTTATTTTCTGGTGCATAGTCCAATGAGTTTTAACCCATGCATAGATTCTGGTATCCACCACCATCAACAAGATACAGAACAGTTTAACACGCCCTTTGTAGCCAGACCTCCCTACTCCCAACCCCTGGTAACCACTGATCTTTTCCCTTCCCTTATGGTTTTTCATATTCAAGAATGTCATATAAACCATGGCTGGTGGGCTCAGTGGTTAGGGCATCCACCCAGCCAGCAAAGGGTCACGGGTTCAATTCTGGTCAAGGGCACATACCTGTGTTGCAGTTTGATCCCTGGGGCCCAGATGAGGATTAAAAAAAATGGAGCCGCATAGTATGTTACCTTTCTTTTTTTTAAAAAAATATATTTTATTGATTTCAGAGAGGAAGGGAGAAGAGAGATAGAAACATCAATGATGAGAGAGAATCATTGATCAGCTGCCTCCTGCACTCCCCCTATTGGGGATCGCAATTCGGGCATGTGCCCTGACCATGAATCGAACCATGACCTCCTGGTTCATAGGTCGATGTTCAACCTTTCGAGACTGACCTCATTTACTCAGCTTAACACCTTGGAGATCCATCCAATTTGTTCATTCATTTTTCTGGCCGAGTAGCATAGCATGGACTGGGATTGCTGGGTATGTTGAACTTTATAAGAAACTGCCAAACCATTTTTCAGAGTGACTGTACCATTTTGCATCTAAACTAGCTATGTATGATAGTTCTATCTGTTCAACATCTTCAACAGTTCGGTATATTTCGTAATTTTTATCTTAGCCATTCTAATAGATATGTAGTGTTATCTCATCATGGCTTTAATTTAATATCCCTAATGCCTTATGATGTTGACCATCATTTTATGTGCTTATTTGCTAACCTTATGTCCTCTTTGATGGAGTGTCCAAATCCTTTCTCCTTTTTCTTTTTAAATCATTGGGTTTGTTTTTTAGTATCTGGAATACATTTATACAATGAGAATTCCCCTCATCTATTCTTTTTTTTTTTTTTTGGTTGTGATTAATTTGTTATGCTCTTGTCAATTCATTTTTTAAAATTTCTTTATTGATTAAGGTATTAACTTTGGCTACCCATTAATATCATTCTTTTCGATGGCTGCACACAATTTCATAGTATAGTTGTATCATGGTTTATTTAACCAAGATCTTATTGATATATATTTAAGTTTTTTTCCAGTGTTTTGCTATTACAAGCAGTGCTGTAATGAAAAACTTTGTGTGTTCATTACACACAAATATCTTCTATGTATATGAAAGTGTGTCTGTGCCATGAGCGTATAAGACTGCTTATTTTTCCACAACCTTACTGGTACTGAATATTATAATTATTTTTTCATCCTTATATGTTATGATAGGTAAAATAAATAAATAAATAAATAAATTCCCATTATTGATTTAAAGTTTGCCTTTTTAAATTAATGAGGTTGAGCATATTTTGATGTTTACTAATCATTTAAATTTCTTTTTTGGAAGTTTTCTGTTTACATAATATTAATATTTTGTCTAATGTAGGTTAAATATATTTTTTCCCATTTCTGGTTTGCTTTTATTAACTTTATTTTTTAATTTACAAATACTCAGACAAGGGAGACAAAAGAAAAAATATACCAAGGGGACTACATCAAACTAAAAAGTTTTTGCACAGCAAAGTAAAAAAATAAAAAAATAAATAGACAGCCTACTAAACGGGAGAACATATTTACCAATAATACATATGATAAGGGGTTAACATCCAAAATTTATAAAGAACTCACACTACTCAACACCAAAAAAACAAACAAACACCAAACAGTTCAATTAAAAAATGGGCAGAGGATCTGAATAGACAATTCTCCAAAGAGGACATAGAGAAGGTCAATAGACATATGAAAAGATGCTCAATGTCATTAATTGTCAGAGAAATGCAAATTAAAACCACAATGAGGTATCACCTCATACCAGTCAGAATGGCTATCATAAGTAAATAAATCCACAAATGATAAGTGTTGGTGAGGATGTGGAGAAAAGGAAACCCTCATGCACTGTTGGTGCAGCCACTATGGAAAACAGTATGGAGGTTCTTCAAAAAATTAAAAATGGGACTGCATTATGACCCAGCAATGCCAATTCTAGGTGTATATCTGAAGGAATCCAAAGCACTATTTCAAAATAATATATGCATACCTATGTTCATTGCAGCATTATTTACAATAGCCGACCTATGGAAGCAACCCAGATGCCCATCAGTAGATGAGTGGATAAAAAAGCTGTGGTACATATTTACAATGGAATATGGCCCGCTCATAAAAAAGAATGAAATTTTACACTTTGTGACAGCATGGATGGACCTGGGGAGTATTATGCTCAGTGAAATAAGTCAGCCAAAAGAAAGACAAATACCATATGATTTCACTTACATGTGGAATCTAAAGAACAAAATAAATGAACAAACTAAACAGAAACAGATTCATAGATACAGAGAACAGACTGATGGTTACCAGATGGGAGGGGGTTTGGGGGGCTGGGTGGAAAAGGTGAAGGGATTAAGAAGTACAAATTGGTAATTACAGAATAGTTTCAGGGATGTAAAGTATAGCATTGGGAATATAGTCAATAATATTGTAATAACTATAAATGGTGCCTGGTGGGCACTGGACATATTCGGGGGGGGGGGTACTTTGGTTGTTCACCTAAAACTAATATAATACTGTATGTCAAATGTAATTGAAAAATAAAAAGTATCTAAAAATAAAGGAAAATAATCTACTTACCATGAGCAAAAGAATCTATAAATATTTTAAAATTTTATATAGCTAGGTATATCACCCTTTTAAAAAATATTTTTCAGATTATTACAGATGTTCCTCTTTCCACGCCCCCCCCCCCCATAGCTCCCCTTATCACCCTTTTCTTTGGTCACCTTTGAGTTCCTTGTTGTAATTAGAAAGGACTTGAATTACTTTAAGATTAAATTTGTATAATTACTTAAAACTACTTTCTTTTTTTAACTGATTGGAATTGCCATTCTCAAAGGGAACCAGAGACTACTGTCAGAATTCATTATTTAGCAAATTTGTACTAAGAACATATCTTATTGTAGATTCTTTGCGAGGTCCGGCAATTTGCAAGGCTTTAAGAAACCATCCCTGCCTTAATTCTAGCTAGCTAAACAGACCCCTAAGGACTTACGATAGTACCTACCTCTTAGAGTAGCTTTACAGTCTTAAATGAGATAATAACATATACAGTGCTTATAACTGTGCCTGGCATTGAGTTAATGCAAAATAAAATGTTAGTTATTACTCTTATTATTTTTAAATTTCTATTATAACCCTCTAAGTGTTATAACTCTTATAAGAACTTAGTAGAAGAAGCATTCTGTTTTGTGTACACGTGTGTGAGTGTGTGTGTGTGTTTGTCTGTGGAAGATTTAAAAATAGTTCATGTATTTGAAAAGGGAATTAAAAGATTAGTTATATGGTAGGAAGAAGAGCATTCCAGGTAGAAAGCAAGATTTTACAGGAATATCAACAGCAATAATATACAGAGATATAAAAAGGGCAGAATATAAGGCTAAACAAATAAGTTGGGGCCTTGGATGTCATGCTAAGAAGTTTGAATTAACTTCACTGTCATTGTGAGGACAAACTCCTTCACCTATTCATTCAACAAATATGTTTTTGAGCACCTATATGAACCAGGCACTATTGTAGGCACCGGGGATACAGTGGTGGAATTAATTTAGATAAAATCCAAGATGACCTGGAATTTAGATTTAGTTGGATAAATCAGTAAACAAACAGATTAGCTAGTTAATTACCCATTGTGATAAGTAGTACTAGAATGAAAATAAACAGAATGACAATAGAAGATAACACTAGTTAGAAAGGTATGAAAACTGCAAGCCAGTCAGGTTTCACTTATCTGTGGAATCTAATGACAAAACAAAGTAAGAAACAAAATAGAAACAGACTCATAGATACAGAGAACAGACTGACAGCGGTCAAAGGGGAGGGGAATTGGGGGTTGGGTGAAAAAGGTGAAAGGATTAAGCAAAAATAGACAGTTTCATAGAACAGTATGGTGATTGCCAGAGGGAAAGGGGATTGGGGGAGGCAGAGGTGGGTAAAGGGGGAAAAATGGTGATGGAAGGAGACTTAACTTGGGGTGTTGAACACACAATACAATATACTGATGATGTATTTTAGAATTGTATACCTGAAACCTATATAATTTTATTAACCATGTAATCCCAATAAATTCAATAAAAATAAAAATAGGAAAAAACAAAAAACCCTGCAGGTTCAAAAGGATAATAAGAAATTTGCCTAGTAAAGATATCTCAGGAAAGCTACAGAAGAGAACCCCTAAATTTAAAATTCATAAAAGAAATCATGATTTGGTATTTGATGAAAAATCATCATAAGGGACAAATGTTTGTGTGCCACTTCCACTTATGTATAGTTATAGCCACAGTGAGTCAGTTATAACAATTACTGTCTCTAGTAAAGTGGTCAGTTAGGTTTTCCATAAACTTAAACTGGCTACCTCTCCTTAAGCCTTCTGGCTAAACCAGAGTAGTTTAGCTTAGTTATATCAGCATTACTTCTTTTTTTTGGCGGGGTGGGGGGGGAGGGCGTTAATCCTCACACGAGGATTTCATATAGCATTTGGATCATCAAACTACTTTTTGTGTGTTCACTTTGCTCTCAGTAGGTGATTGGGGGAAGCATGTACCCCTTTGTTCCCATATAATAGACTAGGAAATTGAGGCAGACAAAATTTTGGCATTGCTTGTGATTGTAGAGTGTTTTTATGGGAGTAGCCCTTCACCACTTTTCACTAGTCTTTGTAGGAGAATGACTGCTTGTGGTTTACAACATCTGACCATAAAAGAATTATGCTGTTTTCCATGAGTCATGAAAACCAGCAGTCACTCTGCAG